CCCCCCCCAGCCCCTTCCCTTCCAAAAATAATAAGAAATGCTTTACATGCACTTTGCCACATACGCGTGGACCTTACTCAATATCTTCCCAACGTAATAAACGAATTTTTAATAGTTTTCAGTTTTAACACGAGTATAACATTAAATCTACAAGTACCGGTTAGGCCAAAAAGTTAAAGACTCGCAAAGACCATAGTTTGGCTACTGTAAATCGCTGCGGTGTACGCAGGCCACAGACCATGATTTAGCTAGGTACACCGCCGCGGTGTACGCAGGCCAAAGTCAATAGTTTCGCTAGGTACACCGCCGCGGTGTACGTAGTGCCGGCCTATTTCAAATTTATTTGTAAATTATATTTTTTCGAGTGGTCACAGGGCCTTCCTAACTAATTATTTATGAAGCCTTAATATTTTAATAGTTAATGATTGTGTTTTGGGAAACAAGGGCAGTGGGCATCCTTCAGTTCCTCTGGCACACGGTTCTACTCCTTTTCCTTCCTTCGACTACTATTTGCTACAGACAGATCAGTCTCTTTCACCATTGTTGGGCACCCATTTATAACATAGGGACCTTCTCTTGAGCTGGGTGTTGTTACTGAGAAAGTTGCCTGCATACCTATTGGTCTCTTTCACAAACATTTGAGTGATATTTGGAATTTAGTGTAAAAAAGTAGCATTAGCACTCAGCTGGGATGATTATGCATTGACGCATATTTATATTTATAGGTCTTATTTTTTCAAAAAAATTCATAGGGGTAATTTCTATCCAGTTCAGGACCCCTAATTCTAAACATAGGGTTCACAGCGTTATCATAAACATCATCATTTTGATCGTAATCATTACTTTCCTGGTTGTTTTCATCATTGTCAGATTCATTGCTAGGCAGTAAGAAATCAGAATCGCTAAGGACAGTGTCACTATCAGATATTATGGAATTTTACAATCTTACTAGCACCTCAAAAAAATTCCTTAACACATTTAACACAACAAAAGTTAGTAAACAATCAACAGAGGCTGCCATTAAAAAGAAACAGAAAATGTAAGAAGCAAACTGATTAGCTGGTATGAAGACCAGCCAGCCAATCTCCTCGAGGCTTGAATTATTGGGCAGATGAATGGGCCATTCAACCCTGGGCAGATAGATCTTCTCAGCCATCCCAAAAGGGTTAAAGTGCCTAAAATTAAAGTTATAAGCTACAAGTAAAGTGTAATTTGGTAAAAAAAGGGCAAAGGCCAGAAAAGGTTGAGAAAAGCTGAACAATCATGAAACTGACAAAACCCTAAGTCCATAAACAAGTGAGCTGACAGTCAAGTGAGCACATAGACAGCTGAACCTGCAAACATTTTTGCCCAACAGTTAAGTCACGTGGCGAAGTCTAAACTGATGTCGACCCATTTTATGGGCACAAGCGCAGCCGGCAATGAGCTTTGGAGATGACTACTGAGCATACCAGACTTGAAACTGTTTATTGAAGAATAGCTTTTGACTCACCTTATGATAGTTTATATTTTTTCTTGCACGAGAAATAGGTCACCGACCTTGCCCCCTCATCACCGGCCCAAATAGGGCACAGTCCCAAATCATTCCAACTTATGTTTGTCTAACTTTGGGGGGCACTCTGAAGCCGTCCATGGTCATCGGAGTCGACTCCGAAGCATCTGGAACTAAAACTCTTGGAAAACTAGAAATTTAAGGAAAAAGTCATCTCTCAGGGTGGGTCCAAAAATGCAAAAAAACAATATAATTCTTCTTTTTTTCGACCAGTCCATAATCTGAGCCAGAATTTGATCTGCCATCTTTGGAAAACCCATTGTTCCAAATTTAGTTGCATCACTCCTTACGGTTGGGGCGCGCCGTGTGTTTAGTTAGGTGCATGAGCATATTTGTTTTTTTTGCCCTCAATTGTCCGTTGGTTCACTTGTCCTATGTTCAGATATCTCATAGTCAGTTGTCATGACTTTACTTGTCCTACATTCAGTTGTCTGATCAATGCATCAGACACACACCACAACGTTATGCAGCATTAAAAATCAGAAACCTTCCCAGAAGGGCCACCGTAAATCGAAAACAGGGAACCTGAATTATATGAGTATTTCAGAAAAATTAGTTTTTAATAATAATCAGTCGGCCACCGGGTTGCAGAAGCAAAAGTATAAAAAATAAATACCTGTAGTGAAGTTTTGACTTCACTAATGTTCATGGGGGAAATACAATTTTTCGGTATATTAATTTTTATTTCATTGAAATTTTGTTAATTAATTTTTTGAATAGGAAATGCAAACCCAGATCAATTATTTGTCATGAAAAGCATTAATTTCAATCAGTTTTTATTTCATTCCCAGGGCCAGAAAATGCCAATATTGTACTCTGTGGTGGCTAGAGGCACAACAGTGTTAGCAAAATATGCAAGCTGTGCTGGCAATTTCACAGAGGTTACAGAACAAATTTTAATGAAAATTCCACAAGAAAATTCAAAGCTCACATATTCCCACGGAAGGTATGATTACACTCCAACAGCCCATTCTGAATCACAATTGACATAAATTTAATAAAGAAATAATATTTAGTTATTATTTTTTTCTGAATATTTTATTTGTCACTAAACAAACTTGAATCATTAATTACCAATATGAAAAAATATGCAAATAATTTTTTATGTTTCTGTCGTTGTGTAAAAAAAAAATTAAGACACCCTCAACAGTCATCACACATCTTGACACTTCCCCCCAATTAGATGTGTGACATCATTTATCCATGGCCCCCATATTCTATGTTTTTAAATAGTAGTAAGGGTGCTGGGTGGCCGAGTGGTCTAAACTGAGCAAATCTCAAGTTGGTGGTCTAGAGTCCAATTCCAGCCAAAGCCCATTCAAGCTAAAACACTACCAGCACCCCGGGTAGATGGGACTCGTTAACCTTGGATGACAACTCATCTAAGAGAAGGAAACTCTGAAATCAAACCCGGAGATGGAGTCCGGAAAGGCAGATAACATTGGTACAATGAAACATTCCGACAACTCCTGTGACGCCACTGGTGCCAAGCAGT